GGTGGGTGGGTGGGTGGGTGGGGCTGGCTGGCTGGGTGGCTTGGAGGCAGGGAAGCAGAGTGGCGGGGTGGCTGGGTGGCTGGGCGGGCGCATCCCCGTGTATACATATCCATCGCCAGGGGAGCTACCATAAGAGGGTTCTGCATGATACACATCAACAGTAGCAACAGAAATGATGGTGATAAAATTGCGCTAGCACTGCCAGCATTACAGGACCAAAGATTCTCAGCCGCGAGACGAAGACTGAATAGAAACAACAGGAAGAGGGACTTCATTTAGGCAGCTCCTCTGTATTGGCACGGAGAGAGGCTAATACCGAATGCTGATCGATCCCGTGTAAAATGACTTAGGTAACTACCCACAGATACGTACACACCGTTACACACTGAAAGCTTCTGAGAGTTCGGGCGTCGCGGCTTCGCTCACCGAAGCAGCGCACAGCTTCAGGCGGCGCCGCTCCAGGAACTTGAGGTTCATCCTGACTTCAGAAAACAGCTAGTGACGATACATACATGACAGATTGTGAGAGATGACGGTATATACTTGTAGTTTTTCGTGTGATACTATTCGCACCAATTAAAGCCGTTGTTCCTGCTCCTGTCGGCTAAGGCCGGTCTCTGATCCTGAGGCAGCGGCGCATCGCTGAACTCCTCCCAGTTTTCCTCGATCTCTTCCACAGTCGCCGCCCCTCGAAGCGGGCAAAGCAATGCGTTCGGTCTCATAAAGTTTCGTGCCATTTCAGGGTGCCCCAGCCCATGCCGGAGCACCACTCCCGCGCTGCCAGCGCATACTGGGACAAGCCTGAGGACAGAAACTGCTTTATCTTGCTGGTCCTATTTTTCCTCTCCTAGGGCACGGCTGAGCTTCTCCAGCCAGTCGCCGAGCCCCTCCACCTCCTCGCCAGACCATCACTCGCACACCAAAGGTGTTCACTACCGCACTTTTTCCGGCACAAGCATATTGGCCTCAACCTGAGCCCTGTAGCGTGCCATTGCTGCGGACAATTCTCCAAATATCCACGAATTTGCGCAGCAAGACGCAATGAAACGTGGCTAAGGACCATAGCCGCGAGCAGAAGCGGTTTAAGTTTAGATTTAGGTTGCTACTAGTATCTGCATGATGATCGTCAACATCTGAGTTCCGAAGAGAAGGTAAGAACACATAAGCGTTTCGGCTCCAGCTGGTGCTTTGTACACGATGGTGTTGCACTATGTCCAGGAAAAGCAGCCGACAGCAGCCAAGGGCTCTTAAGCTGCCAACTTGCACCGGAAGCGCCGACGATATAGAGCTGCAGCTACAGCACCTGCAGGTTACAAATCTGCCGCTCGCCTTCCCACAGACAGATCGGCCGGGATCTGGAGAAGACATATTTATGTTTATGTCTATGCGTACACCTGGACAAGACAGCATATTCTTGTTAGATCTTCGTGCCTATGACGAATAGCACGAGAAACTTCCACCCTCTGCTGCTGGGCGATCGTGGCACGAATGCCTGGGCGGAAGTGTCGCTTGGAGGAAGGGCATCGGGAGGCGTATCTGCAAGCGACTGATCCCTGCCTGTCGCCTGCGGCAGATGCGGACAGCGCACTCCTTGCGCAGCGCACTTTGCATGAGGCCGTCACAAATCCATAATCAAGCTGTAGTCGTGAACCCAGCATCGTTGGTCCAAGCTGCGGCATGGGTGGTGTAGGGAAACATGTCGAAGATTGCAAGGGCGACTACCTCGAAGCCTGGAACGAACTTGGGCTTGACCAAAATCAGCCCCAGACAGAACAGAGGTACACCGCCCATACCCAAAGCAGCCCACTGAAAAGATCTGCCTTCACCCAGGCTCTTGATGTCGCCCTTGAGGGCCAAAGGGTTGCAAGAAATGTACAGAATCCTGAGCTGCGAGGCTCCGCGCGGTTGTACTGCTTCTTACTCCCACAATCTGAAGCCCTGCCGGGAAGCTCATCGAATTTGGCTACGCATTGTCGGGCAGTGGCGTCCAAGCCTGCAGAAAACAAGCCATTGCAAATGAAACATCTGTCCTGTGTTGGAAGGCGCGTTGTTTACAAAACTTTGAAGTTCTCGCTCCTTGGCTGCTTATCCCGGTGTTCGCCGGCCTGCGCGTGGAGGGTCCACCAAGATCACATCACAACCAGCGAAGATCGAATCGTCGATACTCTCGCTCGACGTACGGAAGATTTTGGCATTCCTCAGCAGGCGAGCACTGCACGTCACATCGCTGCTGCTGGGCAGATGAACCACACCCCTGCTGCAACCCAAGCGCGTGATGTTGTTTGCTTTCAAGTTGTCCTGCGGAATACAAGACAAGTGTGTGGTATTGGTCCATCGGCCGTCTCTCCAAGCAGTTGCGCAGCCATGGGTCATGAGCACCACGAAACTGCCAAAAATCGGCCGATCACAATCCTCTGCGGCTTGCGCCAACGTGCGGTTGATCTCCACCGCCCGGACAGACTCAAACAACGGGGCCAGCGCCACGGTGTTGTTGCCACCTGCTCCATAACTCCAAAAGCCGGTCTCAAGCCTGCGCTTTTGCGCTCAGTGCAGCAAGCCCAACGGGGCCCAAGACTCGTCGTAAGTTGTATCGTAGGCACCTCCACAATGCAGTTCCAGCAACCTTCCCGCAGCTCTCCTGCAGGCAGGGCGAATTGTCCAGCGAAAACTTGCACGCGATTCGCCGCAATGCCGGTGAAGCTGCTGTCGACCGAAGAGTTCACACCATGAAATATGTTGGTCCTGCCCACGGATGCATCCTTCCTTGCTTCTTTGGCCTGGTAGCAGCGTAGAAAACTGAAACAGTTCGCGATAGTTCGCGGCATAGGCAGGCCCTCGCAAAGCACACTGAAGTCGCAAAACCAGAGCCTGGAGGCAGAGCCAGTTCAGGCAATGCACCTGCCGACTTGACACATTGCATGGGAGGCACCTGCCTACTGCTTATACACTTTACGCCCAGCCCAAGATTTCAAGAACATCCATGGATACAGGTGAGCCCCGACCTCGCAAGGCAAGTTCCTCGGCAGCCAGGGAAGCCATATGCACGACGTCTCAGCGACGAGGTAGTCGGTTGCTTGTTGCTGGACAATCTAGAATATAGAATCTAGACAACAACATGACAAGGCCCAGAAGGCTTACAGGTTACAAACTTTGGCTCCCGCAGTCGCATCAGCTCCCACCCAGCCAAGCTGCGTTGAGCAAGAGCGAAGCTCCGTCTGAATGAAGCCAAGGCGCGGGTTCGAAAACTGACCCTGCCAGGATGAAGGAGCTTTTGGAATGGAAAGGGGAAGGCACAGCGAAGTCATCGCAAGGCCTCAGGCTGCTTGTACACCAGCTTCCGGCCATCCTCTAGCTCGAAAGCCTCCTGGGGAAGGACGCCGGGCAGTTGTGGGACTGAGATTGCGAATCTGTGAGAGGCAAAGGAAGCGGGAACCTGCACGAAGTCCCGCTCGACCGCTAAACGCCTTCGCTTCCATCGTCCCACGACATCTACTTTTGCTCCTGCAGCTCTGGCTGTCATACTGAATGTAAGATGTGATCAAGGCAGAGTCTCAGTAGCAACGTGAGCCACATCAAGATGATGCATGCTCATCACCCGCGTCCTTTGACGTCTGCAGCTTCCATCGCCTGCAACCTATGCACGACAAGCCCGAAGTATTCATCTCCCCCACATTCCGGGATGGCAAATCATGCAGTGTTAACATGAGACAAAAGCCCACACTGCGCTGACTGCAGAAGCAGAATAGAACGATGGCAATAGCAAGAACTGCAAAGAACTTGCTACTGTACTCTTTGTCGGAGCAGCAGGAAGCTCCTCAGCTCCTGTGCAGCGGCCATCCACCTCGTAGCTCATGGCTGATCACTTGCAGGCCATTTTGGGGCTCCCGCGCAACGTTTGGCAATCCCGTCCTCTTTCCTTGGGTGGAATTCTCGAAGGCTGCATCGTCCTCGCCAGGGTGAGACTGACACCGGGTCAGTGCCAGGTTGTTTTACCCAAAAGCACGCCTCCTCTGGCAGCGGCTGCCCACGTTTTAAGTCGCGCAACCGTACGTCGTGGTACGCGAGACACCTGCAGGCAGACTTGGTGGTTGCTGAAGCCTGCATGGCATGCATAAGGGAGGGAAGGCCAAACAGAAATCATTCCCGCACATACTGCTTAGGCCGTAAACTTAGACACCCTGGAGGTCTGATGAAGGAAGATGAGGCGAGGCACACGATGAGTTCGCCAGAGAGTGTCGAATGGAACTGCGCTGAGCGCAAGCCATGCCCGATGACGCGCCCCCAGGCTGTCGGCTTGGAAGCATCAGCGAGGTCAAGGCAGGTCCACTCCTGCTCGTCGCTGCCCTCCTCAGAATCGGAAAAGCGGAAGTCGCCTACTGGGCCTGTTCCCTTTCCTTGTCCCTTCTTCCGAGGCGCCCCCAATTCAGGGTCCACTCGGATGGGCAGCGTCCTCAGCACCTGATAGACAAGCCAACGCAGAGTGCTTGATTTGTTTAAGGTCCTATGTCGTCTTCAACTTTTTGTGTCTCAGCCCGGGCTTCATAGAAAGAGACCCGTTCCCAACCTCCATGGCTACGGAGATGGGCCGCGAGAAGATGGGCACCTCACCGGCACCAGTTCTGACTAAACTTTCGGATTGCCGACGTTCCTTCCAAGGAAGTCAGCTTCCACGGAATCGCAGATGCAAAGCTACTGGAGCCTCTGTGGGATTGATGAGGCTGTGCTCTTTGGCCGCCGGGTCCCACATCGACAGCTCGAGGGAGACACCCTCGGCCTGCCTCAAATCCAAGATAGTTTTCTCAGTCTCTGCGCGACACTGCTGGTATGCATGCACATACATGAGCTACCGACACATGGGGAGCGAGAGAGAGAGAGAGAGAGAGAGAGAGACAGAGAGAGAGACGCGTGCAGCGAGAGATGTGTCCGTCGAATGAAAGATATAAACAAATGGCCCGCCGTCGCAACAGCGAAAGCGTCTAAGTCTAAGTTATATATCTAAGCTTTATGTCAGCGTAGAATGGCGCTTACAACGGACGGTTGACTGTGACATGACGTGCCTCTCTGCGCAAGGCCGCCGCACGGCCAGCGGCCCCGCCCGGTGCCGGAACTCTCTGGCTGGGGAGGGGAAGATCTTGGCCCTGTCCTGGATTCCCCCGCGCTGAAAAGCTGCATCATGAGTCATGACATATCATATCATGTTATATCATGACTTCGCTCTACACGCTTGCCCAGTCCACCACATCTGGCGGAATGGCTCCTCTGAAGAGTGCCTGCCAACGAGCAGGAGGCCGCTGAGCAACCCGTGCGTCATGCGACGTGCAAGCGCCGTGGAAACTGGAAGTAGCAGTTCGGATCTCATAGGTGCCTTGAGATCTTCAACCTTGTCGGCAAGCTGCTCATCGTACTTGTCCACCTCGAGCAACGCTTCACAGTCTGGCAAACCACCAGTAGCTTCTTTCTTCTGGCCTCGATCTGATCTCCCAGGGAGCCGAAGGGCCGCTGGCCAGTGCGGCCGCTGCGAGCCGGCTTGGTCAGCAGCGCGTCCAGGTAGGGCGAAGGAGGCGAAGCCTCGTCCGGCTCATCGGCGGGCGCCGCCATGGCCGCCATGCTGCTCCGAAGAGACGCAACGATCAGGACCAAAGGTTCTCAGTTGCGGTAGCTGTGGAAATGGTAGCATCGGGCTCGGGCAGCCGGCCAATCCGCACATAAAATGAACTTACTTGCCCTGTTGCAGAGTGCGGCCCAGCTTTTTGAGACCGGCGCCAACAAGGCACAAAGCAGGGAGCATCCATAGGCGCAAGTGCAGACAGATCAGACAGGAAGGAATCGGGGCTCTCTGCTTCCCTAGGGCACATGTCCTCTCCTCGGGCTCCTCTGTTGGGCTGGTTTCAACTTCTGTGATGGAGATCTCCACCGTGGCACCCGGAGCCGGACCCGGGTTCAGGGAGCCTCGCAGCTTAAGCAAAGCTTCGGTGGGTAAAGCAGCTGTTGCAGCATGGTACAGATGGTACAGCAACTTCCCGACCCTCCACCAGCACGCCTGCTCGCGACAGCTGAGGCGAGTTTGCAGCGCTGCCTGGGCATCTAAAGAGACGATCACCCGTTCGGCAGGAGAAACATGGAGAAACCCTAGGACCATAAGATTCTTGACTCGAGTCTCGATTTGAGGCTTGAGAGTTGAGGCAGTGGCAAACGGCCTCACAGGCCTGCAGGAGAAAGCAGAAAAGGCAGAGCTATGCGCTAATTTATGCTCTCTGAGCAGAGACGTACACTTCTCATGTGCGCTGTCCTTCAGGTGCTTCAAGACCGAGAGGCACAGCTCCTGCTCGGAAGCACAACGCAAATGGCATGGGATGGCAGGAGGCTGGCGGATCCTTGCAGGCACCCTCGGGCTCCAGCAGCGCAACAAGGTACGAGGACCACACCTGAAAGGCTTGAACGATCGAAGATGATCGAAGTCTCGAGTGAGCTAGGTGTATTTACGACAAAGTGTAGGACTCGCTGGTGTGATTGTCAACTACCTACCGCCAGATTCTCTGAGTAGCTGCCAGCATGTCAAGACCAAGACTAAGTCAGATCGTGCAAGATCAGAGAGGCTGCATGCCCCAACACGTAGTTTGCGCGGCACATGTACGGACGATGCATCTCAAAATCGGACATCACGATGTCGGCCAAGGAGAGGCGATCTTCGAGTTGGGGAACCGACACGGGCCAGGTGGCGGCAAGCAAGCGAAATCGCTCGGATCTGCCTCAACTATATTCTCCTCATCGCACTCCTCGTCATCTTCGAGCCTTGGGTCACTCAAAAAAGCACCCCAGTCCAGCTCACGGTGACGGTCCGAGCTCTGAGCATTGCCGCGAAGTATCCCGCCAGGGTGTCGTCCAGCTGTACCTTGGGCTGCTCGCCTTGGAGGCATGGAACAACTTCTCCGATGGTATCAAACGCAAGCACTAGTTGGCCAAGGCACCGAGTAAAGAAGCACGTAAAAAGACATCTACTACCAGCGTCTGAGCACGCTGCGCTCGAAGGCACGTCTCAGCCGCACTGAAAGTGGAAGGCGTGCCATCGCTGTGGGTAAACTCGTATCGGAGAAGCTGCTTCAGTTTGCCGTCAGACATGGTTCTGCCTTGTCTCGTGCTCATGCTGTGCCCCTGAGGGCATCCACAACGAGCTATGGGATTGACTGTCTAGCTGCTCCATGTAGCCGGATGCGCATGAATCACCATGCTGTTGCAATATCTGCAGAAATCGCCTGCCAATGTAACTACTACGTAAGCTGCATCCGTGCTGAAGCCTCCAGGCACAAATCCACCTCTAAGTACTATGAAGATTGATCCAGAAGCGCGTGACAGCCGAGAGACACAGACAAAGTGCAAATGCAGTCACGGTCTGCGACGTAGATGCATAGTGTATCACTGCAGCTCCCCACACGCCTGCTCTGAGAGATGACAACCGCATCCATGGAGCGAATGTCCCTTGGCATGACTCAGATGGCCGTTGAAGGCGAACCATAACGCTTCTCTATCCTGCGACACTCGTCTTAGCGACGTCGAGATCAGTGCAAAGGGTCTCTTTGGAGTGACTACGGCATGGGTGGATGATGCTGCATGATTGTACCCGGAGCTCTGCAAGGATCGTCTTTGTTGTGCCTTCAGTTACAACACTGCGTCCGCATGGACTCTGAGGCGACATCAGTTCCAGAATGGCTGCTGCGCTCTGCACCCCCGCTCTTCGAAGTTGCCCACGCAGACCGAGAAGCACACTTATAAGGCTTGCGGATCAGTGCTAGCTGATCGGCCATCGGCAGCTCCCTGTCGAGTTGCCAGCAAAATCATTAGCGTGGTCAGTGGTCATGAAACGATCAGCACACGGATTTCGCGGTTTGTAGGCCTGAGCTCGTTCTCTGCCTTCGAACAGAGGTTGTGTCTCCTGGGTCAACGGGACATTGGGACATGCTCTGCATGCAGGCTTCTGCCGAACTGCAATTGCAGGAGCTGCTTGTATCCACAACCCACTGCTGAGGGCGGCACCGAACAAAGTCGTCGACCTGGAATTGCCCGTTGACACACACACGCACAAGTGTCATTAAAGCATCGGTATCATCTGTAATCTGTAGACTCTGCACGCACCTCAGGGTTGCCGTTCTGCGTCCAGGCCTGTCACATGAAAGCGCTCTCGAGGCCGAGTCGCGGTGAACCGGAAGATTCCCATCTTCTCGCCGAGGCAGAAGCCGGCAGTGGCGGGGGATCCTCACAGGAAAACCGGGAACTGTTCTCAAACTGCGAATTGTTGCTGATGTTGCCTCTACTACTTTCCTGCTGATATCACCACTACCACCGCCATCACCACATCTGCTGAAAGTTCTGCTGCTACTGCTGCAATCAGGTTTGTCCCATTCGGAGGTAGGACTTCGGAGCTGGATTTGGAACTTGGGGTGGGGGGGGTTGGGGAAGGGTGGCGGAGGTGGGGGCGATGACGATGTGTGGATGACGACACATGTCGATGACGGTGATGGTGACGCGTATGACAGATATTTTGATCACAACATGTTGATGACGACCTGCTCGTAGCAGAGACGCCTTGCTGCAGCACTTGCAAAATCGACAATCCTGAAGCTTGAACCTTCAACCTGGAACCGTGTGAGCAGTCAACTCCTCGACCTTGAACCGAGAACGAAAGGACAACTGCAGACCGCCAAACCTTAAACCCCAAACTCTAAACCGGAGCAAAAGAACGCGACTGTCGGGATTGTGTTTTTTAAATGGAGGTGCGCCAAGTGCTGCAAATACCAGTGAAACACAGGGTTTTCGTCATGTACTGAAGTACCACTCCGTGCTCGCATAACGCAAAACCTTGAGTGTGTGCATGTTTACTTCGTTGTGATCAGGCGCACGTACTTCCAAGCTGCGCCAAGACTACATGTTCTCAGTAACGTGGCCCTGTTTCGTAAACGAAAAGACGTAGTGCTTGCGAGCTGGTGCAACAATTTCTTCTGTTGTACTTCCCCCTGGTTGCGGGCAAACCCTCACCTGGGATGCAGAGAAATCTGTGATCTTTCGCGTTATTGCTGGAACTCTGCCGTTCTGCATCGTGTGGGCGGCAGGCTGGGGCCGGGGCCGGTGGCCGGCTGCTCGTGCTGCCCCCGCTGCCATCAGTCAAGGCCCGGGCCTGAGCTTCAGAGAGCTTTGGCTTTGGTGCGCTTGTCGCTTCCGAGTTCAGCTCTCGTCCTGATTTTGGAGCCCTGAGGCCGTGAGGTGGGGAGAGGATTTCAGCTCTTTCTGCAAGCTCTGCTCTCGTCAACGTCCCGGGGCGGGGTCAGTCACGAGAATACCTCCATTGGGGACGGGTCCTAAACTGACGTGCCCACACTACTGAGGCAGTGGTAAGCTCGTGTTGTTCACGAAGCTGATGCGGCCCTTCACCACGCTTCTCGATGGAAATCATTTGCCAGGGAGAGGTGGAACCTGATCACAGAAGCCAGCACAGCCACTGTGGAGTACTGAAGAGTAGGCGCGGCCAAGCTCGGCACCTGGAGCTGCTGGGGTGGCAGCATCTTGATGCTGCGTGTCAGAGGGGAGCTTTCAGACCTGAGCGAAGCCGTGAGGCAAAGAGTCCGCTGTCCAGCCTGGGCCCGCCACCCGAGGATGGCTGAGGACGGGAAGCTGCCCTGAGAAAGGCGCGTGGGGCTGGGGCTGGGGCTCCGCCGCTTCGCGTTGCACGTCGCACGACGTTGCGCAGGTCGGCCAGAGAGACCCGCCTGGCTCAGCGGACTCGGGCTTGCCAGGTCCGCCAGATCCTGCCTCGAGCTGCTTGTCAGGCTTTAGGACAATAAGAAGTGTTCACCGGGGCGTTTCTCAGCCTCTCAGGCGTCGGCGACCCATCCGCCTCACGAGCTGTGATGGGGGACCTGAGCTGCCAAAGACATGTGTTCGGTGATTCGCATTGCATCTGGATGGGCCGCCGTTTCATTTCGCAGTTCTGTGTATTTTTCTCCAGGAGTCCGAGGATGCCCATCACGTGGCTAGTCGGCTAGTCGGAAGACCCGGAGCCTCGGACCTCACCTTCAAGCGACTGGGGAACAGGCAAGGTGCGGTCCAGGCTGGGCTCGGTGTACAGCAGGGTATCCTAACAGGGCACCACTTCCAAGGAAGCTGACAAGAGTTCGCCCACGTGGGCCTCTTCCTGACTGCCCGGGGGCCGTGTAGGGGTGGCCTGGCGGCACTGCCAAGGTACGGACTTTTCGTGTTTGATTGATTATCGGGACTAGCGGGAACCAGAGGCACGGGCTATCTGATTCACTGGCTGTGGAACCCCCGCCTTGGTGGGAGTTGGAGTGGCAGCACTGCCACTCCTTGGCTGACACATCTCAGCATCACCAAAAACAGGGTGAAGAGCGTGCGCTTCTCTGCAAAGCTGTCGTTCAAGCCGGGCCACGCGACCCCACGAAAGAATCTGATGTCCTCAAGCCGGAGCAAGGGATTCAGACATCACGTGCGACAGAAAGAATTAGTTCAGCTTCTTTTCGACTGCCACGGTCCTGTCTCTCAGCAAGCAGGTTGCACAGCTTTTCCTGGTGGCAGAACAGAAAGCCTCTCTCGCACTTTCGATCTGAATCTGCACTGATAGTGCTGATAGTGATAATTACAATCCGGAGTTCAGCACACCAATCCCAACACTGAATCAACAAGTCACCAGCATCCTCGCCAATGATACGTCTGAACCGACGCACCGGCAAACCCCACCCTGAATGGGGGCCTCGAGTCTCCTCATGTCTGCCTGCAGAAACGCGGCACAGGGTGCAAAGCATGGTCGATGACGTCTCGGATCCCTCGAACATCAAACTCGTGCCCTCTTTATGACCGCCTCGTGTGTTTTGCGCATTTGCTGGAGCTGGCGCTGATGGTCGCGCTCACGCTCCTGACATGGGGAGGGGGTGCCGGGGTGCCCAGTGCCAGGCTCAGAGCCCCCAGGCTGAACTCTCAAGAGTTGCCTGCTGGAAGCTGTGAAGATTCTGCAGCTGCCGCTGATGACAGCGCTCTCTCTCCTTCTCCCATCCAGCTTGCTCTTCTTGAAAGGATTATATCATCCATGATGCTCAGCATGCTTCTTTCTACCAGTCGTGGCCCGTGGCCTCCAGCAGCTCCATCATTTCAGATCGTATTTGCTCCTTTCGAAGATCGTGTCGAACACACAATTTGGTACACACTACTTTGCAAACTCAGCAATTGCTGCTTGGAGGACGGTAACTCTCTGATTTCATGCGAGGCACGACATGCGACGTCCGGCAAGACGACGATTGCGGAGCCTGTCGGCGCAAGGACGGTTTGAGACAACTTGACTGCCGCCACCTGAACAATAGCGGCCTTGGATTGCGTGTCATCGCACAGCTGCGTCCTGGCCCACGGTGAACACCACAAGCTCACAGCCAGCACGGAGGCACAGCCACCTCTCCGACGCAGCAGAGTGCGAGGTCCTTCTCAGAGAGGGAAGCCAGATGATGAAGCAGGCTTTCCACCCCATCAAGAAGCGGGATCCGTGCTTGCCTGGGGGCCGTCGAGGCCGCTGTGGTGTCTGCATCACTCCTGCATGCATGCCAGACGCGAAATCGCAGCGACAGGGCTGATGCAACGATGCCTCACTTGTCTGTGACTGATTTGTGGTGACACCACCATCAAAGGCCGCTCGTGGGCTGATGCTGACGGCATCAGACCTGAGCTGCGCGATTTGATCGCACTGATTCTGCGAAGCGAGTCAGACTTCCGTGGCTTCTGCTTTCTGAGCGTGATGCGGAATGACATTTGTGGCGATGCCCAGACACATCCAATAGTGCTCGGACTGCTCTTGGAACCTGAGCTGAGGTCAGCAAAACGTAGCAAGCATCTGTTGCTATGTCTTGTCAATCGTGGGTGCTGCTAAAGAGCAGCCGGTGTTCAAGGAGTCAGACGATCTCCTTAAATCAACATCCATGTTGATGCAAAGTCAGCCAGCGGGCGGCGGTCGCTGAGTTCAGCACATGACAGGCTGCGAGGACGTCGTTGCATCCTCCACGAAAGCAGGATGACAACACACAGCTTGGAGCACTGGAACTCCGGCTAATGGCTCCTGCATTGGCGTCATTGGTTTCAAAGTTCTCGATTCAGGCGTTGGCTGCCTCAAGCTTCGGGATTTGCTCTTCAAAGAAGCGAAACCGAGATCTCGCGCGCTCCCGGACTGACACATACGATCTCATTCGCCGTTTGGGACTGCGGGACGTCTTTACGGAAATCCGTGCGTGGTCCGGCTACATGGCTGCGGTGTACCCTGCCTTGCTGCAGCACCTGGCGCAAGCTGCTGACGGGACTCCTTGCATGTAGAGCCGGCGAGCCCAAACCCCGGCCGCGACGTCTCTGTGCCAGTGATACAGTACGGGAGATGACGGTGGGTGACGATGAGGGCGACGTCGGCCAGAGCAAAAGGATGATGAGGTGACAATGAGGTGATGAGGCTGATAAACGATGAGGGTGACGAATGTGACGTGGGTGATGATGAGGATGACCACGAGGGTGACGATCATGATGACGATGATGATGGTGATGATGACGGTGAGGGTGACCAGGGTCATGAGGGTATGACGGTGACGATGACGAGGACGGCGATGACGTTGACGATGCCATTCAGGATGAAGATGAAGATGACGATGACTTTCAGGGGGTTCAATTGCCTGGTTAAAGCAGCCCAGCCTGCAACAGCATCGTACCCGCGGGTCGGACGTGGGCCTTTGCCATGCAAGCTTGGAGGCAAGACTTCTGACTGCAGCGCCGAGGGCACCGCAGAGCCGGATGTAGGAGCGACGCAACTTTGCAGAGGCCTGCAGCGGAAGACCAGGCCGGGTCCGCAACACGCAATCCCAAAGCAAGAGAGTCTCACGATCCCGTGTCAACCTCTGAGGCAGCTGCGCCGAATGGCGTCGCGTCCTGATGGACTCTGGCGCCTGACTCATGGCACTTCGTGTCATCGAAACAAAAATTATCCTTGTTTCGGCATCGAACGCAACCACTGTTATCTGTAATTTCACATTCTGACACGGGCGTTGGGACCTAATCGTCCTGACGTGACGGAAATCCCGTCACAGAGCTCGCCGAAACCCCAAACTAGTCAAGGCTTGAAATGACAAAATTATCGAAAAATGGAAATGCGATTTTGGCTCACAACCTGATGCAGCTGCCAAGCCTTGCATTGGCCCTCTCCCGAAGGTACGAGCACCTGAAGCTGTCAACTAGTTTCGCGATGGTAAGGGCAACAATCGTTCAATACTGTCTCTACCGCCTCTGTGCGGGGAAGCGACTGGTGTTCTCTCTACCCTACCTGATGTCTGGCATTTGCTTGGCATCTGCTCATGCAAGCTGCTCTCATAGCGCAACCCCTACCCGATGCACCACCGAAACTGCGGTCAGAGATGGCTTGCTTGGAGCCCTTGCAATCAGGAGTCTTGGACTGAACATCCGGCAACTCCCTGCCCCACCGCGCTCCGCTCGGCCCGGTTCGCCCCGGACTAAGGCTCGTGCTCTGAGGCTTTGGACGCCTGTCGGGCACCTTGCCACTGCCACGGGCCGGGCTAGAAGAGCCTCAACTCTGAGGTCCTGGCATCTTTGGTGCCGTCGTCCACACTTGCCTCTTCGAAAGCTGCTCTAAGCCCTGGAACTTCGAGCTCCTGTTCAAGCTCCGAGCCTCCAGGGACCTCGATCAGGCTTGCTCGCATGCGAAACTGGCCTCGGACTCGGAATTACTCGGATCTCAGAAGTAGCAAGCAGGAAAATAATTGAGCAAAGGCAAAGGCAAGATGGTCCGGGGAGTACGGGGCGGTGTTCCGAAGGTCAACCTCGCACATACACACGGAACCTTGAAACACGGACGCACTCGTCCTCTCCATCCTCCCAGAAGCTCAGCATAATGCAGCGGTTTCGGAACCGGCCTCATGTCGGACCTCGCACTGATGCTGTAGCCCAAGTAAGGCTTGTTCCGAACGGCTCAGTGCCAGGCAGCCAAATCGCTCGGCCTGCGATGATGGGACTGCAGTCGAGTCGGAACAGAGCGTGGAAGCGCGCCAGGTACAGAGCGGAGGAAGAAACGAAACGATAAGAATCGGTCAGTTAGTCAGCCGGTCCTTGTGACACATTTGAACTGCAGGGATGCTCAAACCCATGAACAGCGTGAAGTTAAGGAAAAATGGGGAGCTCGTCCCACGGCATTCCCTCAACGAAACCGCAAAACCCATGCCGGGCCCACCGCAAGGGCTGGCGGAGCGCGCCTGCGGTCGCGGCCACCTCAGACTGGAGAGGCCAAGACAGCTGCTGAGGGAAATTGAGCTGTTTGGCGTCGGAAGCAAAGGAAGTTTGCCAACAAAGCGATTCTCACCGAGGGCAATGCACCGGCCGAGAGTCCTGGCGGTAGATTGGATAAACCTGTCGAGTCTGCGCAAGCAAGACCACGGCAAATCCACTGGATTCTTTAAGTCTTGGGTAAAGAGACTGCAACAACGCGGGAAATCCAAGAGTTGGATAGAATGAGGACAGCAGCCTTTGATGAACTCAGTGTGACGATGTCAAAGAAAGAATCCTCGCCTGTCTGCCGGCAGGCACAGCCATGCTCGGCATGGTTCCCCTGGTCACTAAAGAGAATCGCCAGCAGGCTTGGTACACAGTGTGTGAACAGTCAGGATTCGGTCATGCTCGGCTTGTGCCCGCCTGGATGTCTGCCAATCAGATGGCTACGCCCAAGCAGCTGCCCATCTAAAAAGGCTTGACATGTCTCCCCGCTGTAATCCCTGCAGCCTGTGTGTCTGCTATGTCTGGTGGGGAGCAGGTGCCCAGAGTTTTGCAGGGTTGCTGCATCCGGCAAGCGGTGGGCAGTTTCAACGGTCTGACTACGTCGTCACATCATCACAGAACGTCCATCGGCTGTAGTCTGGCTGCGGCTGTTGTCGCCATGTCATGTGTAAGCTGGAACTGCAAACACACTGCTGTGCTCCGCGACTGCGATGTGTACCCAAGGGCTAACTCAAGCAAGCCGTGATATGCAGTGTAACGAGCACCCAGTAGGAAAGCCACAAGCATCTGATCACACTGGGGCGTCGAACCGATACAAATACCGGCGCCTTGTGAAACCTTGGGCAAAGGGAATGCAAAACTCAGAAACGGCAGCTTTGGAAGTCCGTTGGAAGGCATGCAGGCTTTTTGGAATGGAACTTACGAGTGCCAGACTCCAGCTGGAGCCGATGGCCATGCAGAATCACCTGACTGTAAGCAGCCATGGACTTATTGGACATTGGTTTGCTTCATGCTCGCGCATGTTCACACCCTACTTGGGCACTAGGATGACATCGCACAGACGTTTTCCGAGGCCAGCCACAGGCAATGGCTGAGTCGTCTTGCAATCGCACGAATTAGCAATCTGTCTTGTCAAGATTGGATTGCAGTCTCCCGTGTTTTGCTTGTCTTCACTATGACCCTAAGAATGCGAGACTGCGTTTGCCGACTCAAGTCGAATTAGCTGAACAAGGCCGTGCAACTTCGCACTTTGCAACGTCTGACTAGGACAGTTCAACGAGCCGGAGCCATTTCGGCGTCTCTCTGGCCTCTGCGACCTCAGCCTTGATCTTGCAATTTAGACAATGCCTCCATAATACTCTTGAAGCCGCTTGGCATTGTCTCCTTGGCAGCAGCGGCGCACTGTTCCCTTGAAACCGCAGCCATCACAGAAGAAGGCTCTTTCTTGTTTGCAGCGGGTGCGCCACTGGTATTGATGGACACCCACGGATGACGCAGCACTGCATCGAGCGTAAGTCTGTCGCTGGGATTCCTCAAGGCCGCTGCTGTAAAGAAGCCCTACACAAAAAAGGCAGGCACAAAAAAACACAAACACAAGAGATTCCTTAAGAGCAACTGCCGGCAAGAGACTTCGTCAGCAGCTTCGAGATTAGATCTTTGGCTTCCTGTGGGGGTTTTGCGCACTCTTTAAAGCGAAGCATCTTGAAAGCTGATCGTGGGACGAGGCAGTCAAGAACTCTTCAACAAACCATTCGAACAAGGCCTGCCTTGGTCATAGTTGTGGGAAAATGTATCGCTCCGCTCTTGATCTTTCGGTAGGTACCCTTCTCGCTTGAGTCCTGCCGAGGCTTCAGAGCTGGAATTCTTCTGCAAGTCTGGCTTTGTCTGCAATGTGACTATGACATGCATGCAAGGAGGGTCGAGCTCCTCGAAGGGCGGCTTGCCCACCATAAACTCGTACAAGAGCACACCGAGGCCCCAGATATCAACGTTGCCTCGAGGAAAAAATGCGACACAGCCCTGCATGAAGGATGAACTGGCTGGGAGTTGGAACATCTTGCATCGACATGGAAGCTTGTCAACTGCCTCTCTTCCAGGCAAGACTCCGTGGTACTTCTTGCTCATGACCATCTCCGGAGGAAGGTAATCCAGAGTACCGCAGAAAGTCTCCCGGCGTGACGTGGGCGCATGCACGGCCCAGCCGAAGTCTGCAATCTTCAGCGTGTCCTTCAAGCCAATGAGAATGTTCTCTGGCTTGATGTCTCTGTGGATGATGTGCTTGGCGTGGCAGTACTGGATGGCCTGCAGAATACCGCCAAGTCCCGGCAGGGACACATGGCATGAGCATCACCCAACCATATACCGGCAGAGAGGCCCCAAGGGTGCCAGTCCGGCCTCGACCATCTGCTTGAAGTACCAAGCTGATCGCGCCTGCGGCACGGGCAGAGCCAAGGTGCGACATGGGAGCCGGAGCCAACAAGCAACAAACAGATCCGAACTTCCCAACCCAAAAAAGCTCATGAACCTCTGAAAGCCTGGCCTCCGAGAAGGTGCGACGGCTCTGCAACAATTGGTACAGCTCTCCACCCGGGGCCATCTCCAAGCAAAGGTAGACACGCTTCCTTAGCGGCATGAAAGGCTCGTGCGGGCAAACTCACGGCTTCACCTCACCTGTCGTCTGCCCAGTCCTCTCTCCTTTTGTGAGCCTGAAGATCTGCAACTAGTTTGTCACCTGAAGCCGAGCTACTCATCGTGGAAGAAGGTGTAGAGTCTAAGAATATTGACATGGCGGCAATGAGACTGGATCTCGATCTCTCGCCTCGCACTCAAGCACTGTGTACCACTGCAAGCAGCCACAACATGCTGTGAGCAGCCCACATGCCTCAACTGGTGCTCGACGCGATGCTTGATGAGCTGGCGCTTGTCAAGCACTTTCAGAGCAAAGATGAAGCCTGCATCGTGGCGGCACTCTGCTTCCGCTCAGGCACCACCCAAGCTGCTTCGAGCTGGTTAGGCAGGCAGGCAGACAGACAGACAGACATACAGACAGATGCATAGATCGGTAGATTGATAGGTAGGTAGGTAGGTAGGGTAAGG